TTATATTATTATTATATGCGACTTCTATCATGTCAAGAAATTTGATTTCTTGTTGGTCATTAGTTGAACTAAATATTAAATAGGATGATTCTATAATTCCATTGCTATTCAGTCGATTGCTGAACTGTGTCCAAATTCCTCTGCTTGCTCGGGTTTCACTGCAGTCGCTTCAGCTTGAGTTTGCGGCTCTGCCTCTGCACCGCTTTAAGCTGCTTAGCTCTATGCTGGAGCTTCTGTTCGAGCAGCCGCTTGAACTGCTGCTCCCGGACCAGTATCTGCAGATCCTCGTAGCTGCACGTGGCCATGCGCTGCTTTGTTTTGGCAATTAATTCATTGGTCAATAGAATCTTTGTCTGTGACATCTTGGCAAAGTGCGCTTTGCGTCGCTGTAGCTCCGAGCGGTGCAGGAACAGTGCGTAGGCGGTCTTCACAGTTGTTGCTTCCATGACGATTGCTGACTGAATGTGTTGGGATGTGCCTCCCGCCGCCCCTTTTATACGATGGCAGGCAAATGTTCTGATTGCCTGCTTGCTAGCCAAACAGGAACCGTTTGGGACACCAGCCCTTTTTTTTAGCGTTTGCCTGTTTACCCCAAGTGCGCCCGCTCGTGATTTTTCATGTTCTATCCTTTGGAGTGTCGTTTACCTGCCGCGAGTGAACCTGCAGCTGCAGCTGGCTTATCGGTCGTCCTGCGGCCTGCCGGGAGCCCTCGCAGGTAGCCGCCGTTATCTTTAACGTTCCGGCTACGTGTTGTGGCATTAATGCACTTTAGGCAAATCCCACACATATGTGCATGACACAGGCGAGGAGTGAACGAGCCTGAGCAGGAAACGAAAAGTTAGGTAAACTTTCGCGCTTGGCTGACCCAAATCAACCAGCGAACGAGTGAACTTTTTGAGTATGCATTGGGAATTTTTACGTGCTGCATCAATAACTTGGCCAACGACGACGCATCCTTGACAGGACCACGCACACTTGACGAGCTCGGGCTATCTCGCTCTCGCTCTTGCTCGCTATCTCTCTGTGTCTGTCTCTCTCTCCCGCCCACTCTTCGGTTTATTAATTTGCATGAACTTTGGCAATGCTCATTTTTCATGTCTGGCTTTTTGGACCAGGCAGCAGCTAAAGCCGCAATTAAAAATTGCTTATGGCAGTAAGGGCTCTCAGAGAGCCACACCCACAATCACGCCCAGTCCCTCACTGGGAACGTTATGCAAAACTTGCACAGTTTTTTTTTTTTTTTTTGTCGACCAAGCTAACTTAATATTCTTCATCCTTTTTGCTCTCTGAATATACCATTTCCGTTTAACACCTCCGTTGCCCGCCTTTGGGCATTTAGCTAAGGCAACTGTGCATCATTATTTTGGAATTTTTGACAGTTTTTTCCACGACGATAAGCTACTTGTGAATCAGCTCAGCTTAAATACACGCAGCTGTGCGTGAGTATGAGTGTGTGTGTGTGTGTGTGTGTGTGTCTTGTCACATTTCCGCCGGAAGTGTAAGCACAAAAGTTCGTTTTCGTTAAATGCCAGCAAGAAATGCAACGTCGCTTCATTTTCTCAGCCAGACATTGACTGATGATGATGAGCATGATGATGTAAATGGGATTTATAGTGCGCCATGACAATAGTAAACTGCTTCAGCTTCATACACACACCCACACACTTACGCACACATACACTAAGACTGCTGCTGGTAACAAGTAGCTGAAATCATAAGCTGTGATAGCTTCTTTGTGCGGCTGCTGTGACGAGCCAGCAAATTGCCTCACTGAATTTATAGTACAATTACCACAAATCTAATGAGCACCAAGGCACTGGGGAGACAGGGCGACGGAGCGTGGCCAGACGAGCGAGCATATAACAGCAGACAGACAGCTTCAATTTTTGTCTGTAGCATACTTATTGGGGCAGGGTGGTGCAAGTTAAACTAATGAAACGAATGGGCATAGTGGAAGAGACCGAGCAGGTTGCTAATTATATGCGAAAAAACGGCAGAGTGATATTTAAAGAAAAGTTTTGCTGGCAATGCTGAAGATTAGGAGAGCTGTATATCATGATTACATGCAAAGCCAAGACTCTCATAGTGAGATGGAAACTGAAAGAAAGCTGAAAGAACTGACCAACGCTATATAATAATGAAATAAGTAATATAATAATGAAATAAATAGGGTTTTTTTTTTTTTTTTTTTTTTTTTTTGCTATATGCAAATATTTTACTTAATATTACTTAAAACTTTTACCTATAAGGTCACATAGAGAAAATCTGCAACTGTGTGAGTTAAATGTAGTTACGTTTGTATGTATTTTCAACACTTACTTCCAGTTCTATGTGAATGGGGTAGGTAAGCTCTGATTGTTTACAATGTTATGCAAGAAAAATAACTACAGGGCGTCAACAACATTAAACCGTTGACGCAGCTGTTGCCCTAGCAGCTATCTGTACATTAATATTCTGAATTTCATTTCCGAGAAACATTTTGCTAAAAAATCAATTCATGGAAAATCGATAAGTGATGGAGCTCTTACATATTAGCCATGTCGGGTCTTGACCCGAATTTATTCTCAATATTACTCAATATAATATAATATGGAGTGACAAGAGTGTAGAGAGGAAAGAAAGGAAAACAATACAATCAACCGCATAAATAAAATTTAGATTTCGCCAACTTTACATTATGACTTTTTTAGTCCGAGCTGCATAAACACTTTTATTCCTTTTACAATGATCCATCATGGAAGCTGAAAGCAAATTGTTTTAATTAAAAAACATTAATTACAATCTATATCAAGATCTTTAATCAGAGAAAAACCTCGGGTTCCCAAGGTTGACAAAGTCATAAAAGTTGTTGTTTGGTTTGGGTTAAAGAATCGTATAGTACATAATCAATACCAATATGAGATATCCTTAACGTATATATTACTGTCTCCCTCCTTTTCTCTCTCGCTCCATATATCAAATTTTAACAATTCCCCTTTCTACTTTCAGTTCTTTGCAACTTACGCATATCCATAAAAAAAACCGCTGCAACATGAAACGTGGCAAATCTCTGGAGCTAGCGCTCGCGCTATTTCTGCTGCTGACCTCTCTCTGCTCTGCAGCCGGCATGAGCCTCTCTAATGGCACAATAGTTGCTAGCCTGAGCGATGGCAGCGCTGCTGGCAATGTCAATTTGCCCGTACTAGGCGTTGGCGTCGGCCTTGGCGGCAGCAATAGCAGCAGCGGTGCCATCAATACAGGTGCGAGCCAGCCAAGCGGTGGTGCGGCCGCTCAACCGAACAGCGAGACCAGCGGCAACAGCGGCTTATCAGCTAGCAATACGGGTGGTGGCAGCATCGCCGGCAGCAGTGGCGGTGGCAGCAGCGACACGAACTCCGCACTGATGCAGGCGCCCAAGGAGAAGCAATATGAGAAGTGCACCGGGCCAGGTGATCCAGGGCCGTGCAAGCAGTACATATACAAGTGGCGCTTCGAGCCAACGACTGGGGAATGCACCACCTTCATCTGGGGTGGCTGCGATGGTAATCCGCAAAATCGCTTTAACACCGAGCCAGAGTGTCTCTTTCACTGCGTCGGCGGACCACGTAAGCAAATGAAAGCAAAACTTCAGTCTAGTTTGTAAGCCGAGTTTGTGCCCCGCAGATACCTTGCCGCCGTTTTTGCTGTCAACCACGCGAGAGCCGAGCACCACAGAATCATCGCTGGCCAGCTACAACACACAGAGTCCGGCCCAGCTGCCCGCGGGCTATAACGGCGGACGGATGATGGGCGGCACCACGCCCGTGCCCATCGAGCAGCGCGGCCCCGAATTGACGTTTGCGGAAACGGGTCAGGGCAAGACCTTCATGTTTGCCAAAAACAACACGTTCATCCAAATGGACGGCGACATCATACAGACATTTCAATTACGGTGAGTGAGGGCGGCCAGGTTGGCCGGTTGGCCCAGGAGTCCAGCTTGCCCAGTCAGGATATTGACGGCACGCTCGACACACTTACCTCAATTTGGTTGGGTAGCATTTTTGAAGTCTTTTGCATATTTCATGCTACACAAGAGACTGGGAGGGAGAGACTGAGATAGAGTGAGAGAGAGACAGAGAGAGGTGGGGTAAGAGTGAAAACCGCGATTCGCGCGTCATTTGCCAGATTGTTAGCGTTTCAGCTTGCAAGCGTGTTTGATGTGCACCCTAACACCAGAATGCCCGGAATATTTCTCTCGTATTCTTTGAGGACATGAAAATCACAGGAGGAATTTGTTAGTAGTTAGTATATAGTTAGATCAAGCTGGAAGTTAGTTAGGGCTCTAGTTGAGTTTTGACATCGTAAAATGAAAGACTTAAGTTGTGTTTTCTGCTTTCATAAGACTGCTTTTAGAAAATAATTTAAAAAATACCACCTCAAACAAAACCAGCTCAAACATCAACAAACAACTCCAATTATAAGTTCGAAAACTTCAGTCAAAGCATTCTATCATTCCATCTAAATTTGTGGCTCAGTTCAACTCAAGAAACTCCCAGTGAGCAGCCCATAAAATTGCCAGTTTTCATGGGTTAAAGATGCCTTTGAAAATGTCACACAGTTGCAATTAGCCAACATGACGCAGCTTTAAAATATTTGGTGTGCGAGTGTGTGTATGTGTATATGTGTGTGTCCTAAATGCTTTGGCAATTAAGTGTTCTCTAGCCGGAAACTGTTTGAAATTTGATTTTCTGCTCAATTGCAGGACCTTGTGTTTTGACCCAGTTAACTGGCAACTTTTGTCCAGTTGCAATTTGTGCAAACATTTTACATTTGCATATTGAATTAAAATACAAAAATAAAATAAATACAGCCCAACAAAAAAAATATTGTCAGAAGTCACATAAAATGGGAAAAATAACTTTCTTGTTGTCAGTTTTGGGCCATAGTTTTAATTTCAACTTCAGTTGAGCTCAGAGCAAATAAATTTGTACAACTCTCTCAGGCCATAAAATAGACTATATTTATATTGTATGTATGTCCATCTCTTTCTCTTTCTGTTACAGACTTTGCCGTGAGATATCATTTCAGTTTCGCACCCGCCTGCCGCACGGCCTGCTCGTCTATCACAATGTCAAGAATCCGGATCGCATTAATTTGGACCCCTATGCACTCTACGTGATTGTCGAGAAGGGCCAGCTAAAGGTTGTACATGTCTTTGGCAAGCATTCAACGAGTGTCACAGTGGGCGAGAGCCTAAATCGAGATGAATGGCACAGTGTTATGGTGAGTTGGACGACAAGTAGACCTAACTAGGTTCCATCTGCCACCTAACTGCAACTGGAAGCTGAAAGCTGCAAGCTGCAAACTCTTTGAGCTGCATTTGCCACTCTAGCCAGGCATTCAAGGTTTTTCTTTACTCTGCTCTACTCTGCTCTGCTTTGTTTTCTGACTGCAGCTGAAGTTTCATGTGCTCAGCCTTGTTACTGTAATTGCTGTGGTTGAGGTGCCGGTGCTCTTTGAAAATGAGCATATTA